AAAGAATGCCATAGCCTTCCACTAGAAAATAATTTAACCTCCATTGTCAGGCTTGAAGGGAGATTCTGGTCCTGATGGGTTTGAGATTCAAACCCATAGTCTCATGCGACAGAAGTTCAGGTGAGATGCAGAAGGGATTTTGATTTATTTTAATTTTGATTTGAAATAAAATATATTTGTTATGCCGAAAATATATCAACTTAGTTATTTTTTAATATTTAAAAAAAATAAAAAAAAAAACATGTGAGAAGCAAACCAATATTTATAAGAAAGATGGATGATTACAGAGTGAAATACTGATAGAAGCAAAAAACTTTAATTGCGATTAATCTTTCTAGAATTTTTAAAAGAGAGGTGTCAAAATAGTCACTTTACTTTTTGCAGACTATTTTAATCCTAGATTTATAAAAAGTGTCAAATTAGTCACTTTTTTTAATAGGGACTGAAAGTCCTCTTGGGGATCATTTCAGCAGATATTAAAAGAGTGTGGAGATTGATCTCAAATTTTTATAGAGTTTAGGACTAAAATGAACCCCATATAAAATAACCAGGGAATTATTGTGACACTTTATTCAATTGTAAAACTAATATTTGAATGAATAAATAATGCAAAACAATGTAGCAATACTATTCAAAATTTTGATGGCATACCAAAAAATATCACGTTTAAGTAACATAAAAATACCTCCACAAGTGCACCACATTGGTGAACCATCTTCAAGATCATGTGAAGTGATTCAGAATGAAAAGGAGAAATCTCTCCAACAAATATTAATGTTTTGCAACGTAGCTGCTTCAACTTCACAGTGATATCATATCGCCTGTCCATTAGAAGCAGAAGATGCGAAGAGTTTGTCTAAAGGAACATGGTGAAAAATGCATGCATTTGATGCAAAGAGAAACCATGCAAACGTACCGATTAATGGTTTGGAAAAATCTCAATACATTTGTACTCTGCTTCTCTTTCAGTAACTGTAGATGTAATATAAGAGAAAGCTTAGTCTAGAACTTGGTAAAAGCCAATAAACTAAAAACAAGCGCGGTAGAAGATGGAGGTACTAACACATTTACACGCCTGCACAATATCAGACTTTGGGATCAGTACATTTCCTAGCAATTCCTGTAAAAGCTGGCCAAAACGGAGCAAGTGAAAAACCAAACAAACGGTTTCATTAACCTAGAAGCGAAAATTAAATTATTGTAAAATACCTTACTGAAGTACCTCTGAAGCAAGTAATCCTTGAACAAGCCACAAAGTTCATAATAATATAGCAAATTTGACAAAACCTGAGGGTTCCTTATAACTTCTCAGAATTTGCAACAAGTACTTTACGAGTAGAAAAAAAAATGCCTGAAGGAAAACATTATCATATAGCCATTCTGTCCAAGAAGCTGCTCCACAGAGAGGAGATACCGGTATCAAACCAAGCACACGATTACTGTATCTTGTCTGAGATCAATACTGGGGTGTCAAAAAATATTCAAAAGATAATTTGTAATGAATGCCAAGCAGGAAGACTACAAATAACACTTGCGTAATACCTACAGCAAAAAGGGTAAGAATGTATGAACCTGCCGTGACTCCCATACACATTACAGAATCAAACCTGCAAATAAGAAGCAGCTAAGGTTAATAGTTCTCAGCACTTGACTCCTTCCATATTATCTGTATTTGAACATTCAGATACACAGAATATTCAAAAAATTCATGGATGCAGAGATCTGTAAATTACCCAAAGAAGTCACCTGATCAGCCAAATCATCAACAGAAGGCACGGGGATTATCTGAAGAAATTGGAGCTGCTGCTAACTGTAAAAACACTTGACTAAATCCACAAACAAAATCATGTGTACGTCGAAGGAAAATAGAGAGAAGTTATAAAGTCAAATTACAGACCTCATGCCCTGGAGGAGTAATATTATATATACAGAAATTGTGAAGCAACAAAGAAGCTGCTTCAGGGCAATAGAACAATCCTTGGAAGCACGACATATCTGCCACCAAAAATGCATGCAGAATTTAAAAAAAAAAAGTTCCTAGAAAGGAAAGAGAGAATGAGACGCATAAAAGTGAAAAACCAAACAAACGGTTTCATTAACCTAGAAGAGAAAATTAAATTCTTGTAAAATACCTTACTGAAGTACCTCTGAAATCCTTGACCAAGCCACAAAGTCCATAATAATATAGCAAATTTGACAACACCTAAGGGTTCCTTATAAAAATTATTGTAAAATACCTTACTGAAGTACCTCTGAAGCAAGTAATCCTTGAACAAGCCACAAAGTTCATAATAATATAGCAAATTTGACAAAACCTGAGGGTTCCTTATAACTTCTCAGAATTTGCAACAAGTACTTTACGAGTAGAAAAAAAAATGCCTGAAGGAAAACATTATCATATAGCCATTCTGTCCAAGAAGCTGCTCCACAGAGAGGAGATACCGGTATCAAACCAAGCACACGATTACTGTATCTTGTCTGAGATCAATACTGGGGTGTCAAAAAATATTCAAAAGATAATTTGTAATGAATGCCAAGCAGGAAGACTACAAATAACACTTGCGTAATACCTACAGCAAAAAGGGTAAGAATGTATGAACCTGCCGTGACTCCCATACACATTACAGAATCTAACCTGCAAATAAGAAGCAGCTAAGGTTAATAGTTCTCAGCACTTGACTCCTTCCATATTATCTGTATTTGAACATTCAGATACACAGAATATTCAAAAAATTCATGGATGCAGAGATCTGTAAATTACCCAAAGAAGTCACCTGATCAGCCAAATCATCAACAGAAGGCACGGGGATTATCTGAAGAAATTGGAGCTGACTGTAAAAACACTTGACTAAATCCACAAACAAAATCATGTGTACGTCCAAGGAAGTTATAAAGTCAAATTACAGACCGCATGCCCTGGAGGAGTAATATTATATATACAGAAATTGTGAAGCAACAAAGAAGCTGCTTCAGGGCAATAGAACAATCCTTGGAAGCACGACATATCTGCCACCAAAAATGCATGCAGAATAAAAAAAAAATGTTCCTAGAAAGGAAAGAGAGAATGAGACGCATAAAAGAAAAAAAAAAAAGAAAAAAAAGAAAATTGTCACCCTGAAAAACAGCAAATAAGTGTAGAATATGTGATCCCATGGAAACAACAGAAACCAATAATAAGTTCTATCATCACCAACCGCCTTTTACGAGAAAAATATCTACAGTGCTAGATCTAGTTTTCCGTAAATCCTTTTTAATATCTTAACAGTATAAGCTTTGCACACCCCTTTCCCTAATGCCCTTCCAATCCAACCCCCTCCCTCCCTCTCCCTAGCAGGCGATTGATTTAAAGCACAAAGGGGGCATAATTAACTTATAGATATCAATACAAAAGGACGCTAAAAATTGAGCTTGTACATTCTTTGAATGCAATGCTAAATCTATTACACAGATCTACAAATTTTCAATACTAATTCTAGCAAAATTGAGCAGTTTTTTCAACATCAGTGCTGCTGAGTTGTTTCCTAAGAATATTATCAAAACAAGAAAGGAAAACATAAAGAAAACAAATGGTAGTTATGCTTACGGTTTAAGGCTACATCTAGATAAGTAATAAGCGAAGGCTTATACTGATCTCCATACACAGCAGCAGAAATTGGACCATAGCTGGTTTCGACACAAAGTTCCTGAAAGCCACAAAAAGACTCAGACTATAAAATGATAAATCAGAAGCCATGCGTAAGAAAATGCTAGTGTGAGAAAAAAATTCACTGGAAAAAAAAAACAAATCTGCACAGAAACAGGAAAACTGAGTAGGACGGAAGATTGAGAATTATCAAATGCCTTTCAGCAATTAGACTTTTTATTTTCAAAATTACAATTTGCTAATTATTTTTAATCTGCAAGGATTCTTCAAATAAATGCCCTTGTTTATAGTTAGGAGTATAAGTAGCGAAAAGAAAATCTGGTGCCCAGGTGTGGAAGTTATATGCTGGTGATGAGCAACCTCCTAACACCCAACCCATTCTCAAAGAGGTAGGGATTCCAGAAGGGAGGAGACGTTGTAGAAAGAGAGAGGACTTGAAAATTATGAAGCAGCTCAAATCCAAATATAATTATTAATGGCATAACTAGAGAACAGAAACATGAGGGTACTCGTCCTTTCGCAATAAGATTATGATTCATCTCATGCTCAGCAACACACCTTTTAAACACACTTTTTAATTTTGAATAGAAGTGCTGAGGTTTTAAACTCAGGATTTAATGAATTTGTGAGAAAAAGAAACATTAAATAGCAATGATAAAAAAAGGGCATACCTGCTGTATAAAGCTCAGACAAATTAGGGTTGTAGTGTTAAGAAAAACCTACTAGTCTATGAGAAAACACCTTCCAATACTAGTCTATGAAAAAACACCTTCCAATAACTAACTTGATAAGCAAATAAAATAATAATAAAGACATCAAGCCCTTCCCAAGCCTAAGTATACTCAAACTCATCACAGAAAACGCCGAAAATCTGAAGCCAAACAGATAAATTTTCTTTTTAATATCTTGTAGAAACAAAGAGTCGCAGAGATAATAAATGAAGTCAGAAAAAACTTTTCACTAATGCTCCTCATGATTGGACCATACAAATCAGTATAGAAGATGGAAGAAGAGTTAGAAGAATTGAGTGGTCCCAGCATTACCATGAAGTCTCCCAACAAATTCATAAGAACTTAAGCAAGCCCAATAAAGGGGGTTTTGGCCATGCTTAAAGCATTTGAATCAAAATGTTAATACAAACTAAGGCTCTTGGAGAATAATCAAAAAGAAAAAAAAGGTCCCCTACCGTTAGCATGCAAGAGGTAGAAGGATTACAAGGGATTTATTTGAACCGCTTGCCTATATTTAGTTGTTTTATACTTTTCTGTTAAATTATTAAGAAATTAGTTTCTAGATTATGTAATGATTGGTATTTTATTGGATAGTTTTTTATTTTCTTTAAATTACTTCCTAGATTCTATGCGCCTCCCCCCTACTCCCTCCTGTGCCGGAAACCAAAAAAATCAACAAAAAAGAAAAAAGAAAAAGAAAAAAAAAACATGTGTCGGACACATCTTTATTCAACATGAACATTAGGGCCATTTAGAAGTGTTTGTGCTTCATAGCAAGCATCCTTATTTTATTTTCCCATTTTCTTTTTAGTTTGAATAATTTCAAGAATCCTCCCTCTTTATTCTACAAATAGTGATGGAATAAAGTGAATAAATCTTAATTAATCCAAAAGAAAAACTGTGATTCCCACTCCCTGTCCTATTTGCTTCTACTTCAATACCTACAAGGGATCTTGCATTAAGTACAGTAAAATGCAAAACTCCTTTCTAAGAGCACCCAAACACCTCCAATAATAGAACTCTAGCATTTGTCCGATTCCTCAAGCAACAGGCAACAATATTTTCAGCTAACCAACTCCCCTTCGTCCAATCTTAGGCCAATTTCCAGCCATTGGAAACATCCTAGAAACAATCTCTATCTAGAGTATTTCCGTAGAGAAATATTAATAAGGGATTAAAGATCTTTATAAGGAGTCAAAGAAAAGGAGAACTCTATGTAAATAGAGATAGGAGGATTAGCAATTAAATCCTTGGCTGCATATTACACATCTCTTGCAATTTTTTTCAATGATCTAGTATCAACTTTTTAAGACATGGACATCCTTGAGTGTGTGAAATCCTAATTTTATTGCCTCATGAACTTTTTTCCTAAAATCATAGATCCATTTGCTAGAAATATCCAAAGATATGTTGGTAATTTCTTTAACGTTCTTTACCTTGGGTAATTAATTTGGGAATTCTGCCATTCAATCTTAACTAGTGGGAGGACTGACACAGCATGCTGATCTTCCCGCAAACTTGAAGCTTCTGTGTTTTTTGCGGTTCTACAGTTTCATATTATGCGGCTCCAATGATCATAAGAATAATATAATGTCCAGTATTCCTTCTTATTTAAGAAAAAATTCCTCTTTTTCATATTCTGATTCATTCATAGTTCTCTATTTTTTAATTATGTTATTTTCTATTAAGAAATTTTTATATAAGTTGTATTGTGGCTGATTGGATTTCCAATTTGATTTTAAGAATTTTGATAGAAATTTCTTAGATTTCTGCTCTCGAGAGTGTTGTAGCCTCTTCCTTTTGTAAATGGTGTATATGTAGCTTGCAAAGGAATAGGTGGTGGATCCTCCTGTTCAACCTTTGCTCTCAGACAAGACAGCAACTGAACTCCTCCAATTTGCAGTCTAACAGCAGTTTTCACCCCATCTCCCCTCCCAAATAGCAATGACCTCGCATATCCTCATTCCTTCACTACTTCCCCTTCCTAAACACCTTTTAGAAACCCTAGAAAGGTGTTATTTAGTATAAGAGCTTACAAAACCCCAAATTTTTAGAGATTTATATGTCGTTCCTACGTCTACCCAAAATTTTCCCCCACCAAACACTAACCAGTCCTATTATCATAATTCATTGCCCAAAACCTAATTTTTTAGAAGTCAATATTCCCAACACCACCAAATATCCACCTTCAACAATACTTTCCACCAAAACCCTAAGCACTCCACCGACCTTTGATAAAAAATAAATAAACTCCATTGCATCACCCATCTAATCCTAACCCTCACCCTCATTTTCCTCTTCAATCAAAACTTCAATTGGAAGAAGAAGATGCCATGCTACTAAGGAGAAACCTTCAACAAGGTATTCAAAAGATCACTATCTAGGATATGAAATGAAAAATCCTCAAACTACAATAAAAGCTTACCACCTTTGATATAAGATAACCCATAGAAGTCGCCCATAGCAAAAACTGTAACTCACCAAATCGAGAGGAAGAAGTGAATCCCTTTCTCCATGAAGTATACATTGAGGAAGAACCAATAACCTAAGATTTTGCATAGAACCACAAAGAGGAAACCAAGCTTTTGGAGTGAAGTTGACTCACCGGATTTTGACAGTCATATGAACTCGGACGAGTTCATTGAGGGACTTCAAATAATGGAATAAGTCTTTAAATACAAGTTCCATCTGACAGCGGCCTAAAGTTAGCCACCATTAAATAAAGAAGAGTTCGACTATATGATAGGAATATTCGAAGTGCATACAACAGCATGAGGGAAAAAGCAAGATCAAGATCTAGTGCAAAAAGAAAAGAGAGACGTAGAATAAATAACTACCTGCATAATATAGACAAGATATTCTTGAGACTTCACCACTTACAACAGTAATATTTCTCAATAGAGGAGCACACAACTGAGTTCAAGCAGATTATATTGAAGTTTGAGCTAGTGAAGCCTGATGAGAACACCATAATTCAATGTCTAGGAGGGTTGAGACCAACAATTGACAATGTGATATAGAGTTACAATCCTATTAGACATTAATGATGTCCTGACCTTAGCCCTGAAAGTGGAGAGACAACACAATAAAATTAGAATTACACCACCTATCAAATAGGGTTTAGCCAACAAATTGGGCAACAAGAATACACCTAGTGGATCACCCAAGCTGACCTCGCCCGAAGAGAAACCCATATAATAAAGAACATGTGAAAGCCATTGATACTCCCAAATTCATCCCAGCCAGAAAAATACTTCAATGTTATGATTTTGGGCACATTGCGCCTGATCATCCAAACAGAAGAATAATCTCCATCATTGAGGAGAATCAAGTTGAGGAAATGCCCAATGAAATGAGAGAATGAAGACGCCAGAGAATGCTATCAGCTTCCAGCCAATGAAAGAGACATGCCAATGATTCAAGTTGAGCCTATAAGAGAGACTCCAACATGACTAATATTATTTGTCCTAAAAAGTAGGGAGTCCAAGAAGCCAATACTAAAAAAGAAGCAACCCCTACTAAGGTAGTAGTTGAATGTCCTGACTGATAGTTTATATCTTGGGTGGCTGCTACTAAGAGAGGTTCAACATGCCATATAATTCATTATAGAGTAAGTTCCTCTAGACAGACTTACTTATCGATGTGCCCAGTTGAGTACAAGGAGTGAGAGAAGTATGTTGCAGATTTAATAATTTGAGGCTTGATTTGTGAGAATACTAGCTTATGTGTAGTTTTAGCTGTGGCTGTGCCAAAAAAGAAAAATTGCTTATTATATCAAGCAAGCCTTTGGAAAAATGTGCTTGAGTTGTCTGAGATGGATGTGAGCATAGATTTTTTAGTGAGATTACCTCAGACATAATAAAGCCATGACTTCGTTAAGGTGGTGGTAGATCGATTCCAGAAGCCTATAGAGAAGGTGGAGCCTCATACTCGAGGAGAGTAACGTGGGACTCGAATATTCTTGCAAACACTAAACTTCCACATTTTCACGGTATGCAGCTCCCGCAATCATGGGAGTAATGTATCATCTATGATTCCTTTTTTATTTTAAGCATTTTTTTCTTGTCTTAATTTTCTTATTTTTTTCTCATTTCTTTATTTTCTAATTAAGTTATTTTCTATTAGGGGATTTTTATAGTTTGATTTTATAAATTGACAGGATTTTTTTATTTATGCTCTCTGGAATTTTGCAATCTCTTCCTTTTGCAAATGGTATGTCAGTAACTTTCCTAGGAATAGATGGCGGATCCTCCTCACCGGTTTGCCGTTCGACTGTTGTCCTCAGTTTGGACAAAATCTAAACTCCGATTTGCTTTCTAACAACAAATTTCACCCTCTCTTTCCAAACATCATTAACCTCACATATTCTCATTCCTTCACTATTTCTCAATCACCTCCGTGCAAGATCACCTTCTTAATCATCTTCTAGGAACCCTAGAACGGTGTCAGAGATTCAAAAAAAAAAAAAAACTCTATATAAGGAAAGGAGGATTTGCAATCAAAATCTTGGCTTCATATAAGTTAATCTCTTCCAAATGTATTCAGAAATCTAGTATCAACATTTTGAGAAATTGCTTTCCCTAAGTGTGAAATCCTAATTTTCTCACTTTCTGTACTTTTTCCTAAAATAATAGATCCATTTTTTAGAAATATCCAAATGTTTGTTGGCAGGCTTGAGAGAGTTTATTTACCTTGGGCAATTAAGTGGGAAATCTATTCCTTGATCTTAATTAGTAACAACTGAGTGACACCCTTGCACACTCTAA